ACTCGTCTTTTTCTCGTTCTTTTGTGTCTCACGCTGCGCCTCCCCTGAAGCTCTCTAGCGCCCCCCAGGGGAGGCGCGCCTCACACATTGAAAACCGCTATTGTAGACGACTTGAGATCGCGAGCGAATGCTACCCACCGCGGGCCATTCTGCTGAAGCCTACGTTGCGAGACTACATTGCATTAAAAACATTATGCTCTCTATATATTGTCTTTATTATGCTTTATATAGTGTCTCGGGCTTTGGCTATAGGGCGGTTCAAAGTATTTTTTTCTGGCCGTTGTGAAGACTGCTTTGTTTATTGTCCTTGTTTTTGTTTTAAATAAAGCATTTTCAATCGACGCATGCCAAACATGTGACGTCATATGATGCGTCGCATTTGCGCACAGGGAGCCGGGAGACCCCGAGCTGTACATACACACAAGAGGAGTCAGTCGGTTCATAAGAGCCAGCATGCGGGAATCTGGGATTTGTAGTATTTTGCGTATTTTTCATTGTCTTACATTTCAACAGTTTTACGACAAACTGTGACTTTTTTGACATGGAAATTATTATTTAAGATTGAAAAAAATCATTATGTGTAATTCATGGCACAATTCAAACGGGATCGAAAGATAATCTTTCTCTCTCCATTGATTTCAATGNACACACGTAGTTTTCTGCGTCTGAGTAACAAGGGTGATTTAATCCCCACTCACAGTTATTCCTCGTTTCACTGCGAGCTCACACAACGGCCTCGTATATTACCTAAATAGAGTGGTACAACTTTTTACGAATTTTTTTTATACCAGAACTCTTGTGGCCGCACGCCTTTTATATGCCAGCACGACGTCGATCTCTACACGGACAGGAGACATTCTTCCACAGCCGCTGACGTGTGTACGTTCTTCTTGCTGGGCCGACAGGGGTCCGACAAGGTTGAAATTGTTGACATAATTGAGGTGCATGAAACACATTAACTTAGTACGTTAACGAACCCACACACCATATAAGAAGTACGTGCCCTGTGCGTACAAGGGTGTTGTGTGTTTACTTGTTGTGAGTTAAAAGGCTAGACGCCTGGTCGCCAGGAACGCTAGAACAATATTATTGTTCACGTGCTAATGAACTACGTTATACCAACTCTGGTAAGCCCGAAATAAGATCTCCCCACGTTCCAATTATCAGGTTCATCACCCCCTGACATATAGAATTATACAAATTTTGTATTTTTATTTTTACCCAACAGATCATCCTCTGGCTGCAGCCTTTACCGGTACTTGCTTTTGATCAAAGTCAATGCGGAAAACCTGCACTCACACAGGTAGGTGGAGGGGAAGGGAATGAGCACTTTTACAGCCTTTTTGGCGAGGTGGGGGAACTCGGTCTCCACAGACAGCCACAAGTGGGCAAGTGTCACTTTACTCGTCTTTTTCTCGTTCTTTTGTGTCTCACGCTGCGCCTCCCCTGAAGCTCTCTGGCGCCCCCCAGGGGAGGCGCGCCTCACACTTTGAAAACCGCTGGTCTATATGATAGAGAACTGTAGCGGATACGACCCGTATCGTCTCCGTGTGGCTGGAGCCTACATCGGTCCTTTTAGTTCTAATGAAGTGAGTTATCAAAATGTTGGCCATTTCTAGTAAAGAGATGGCACCTGCTAGTGCAAGTTTGATTGACAGTTTTTAATCCGCAAGGGGCCTTTGTCCAGCTGTAACTTTTGGGCAACAGCGTTTTAATTTGATTTGCCGATTGGGATTTCTTAATCTCTTCTAAGGAAATCTTCTGCAGCTGTGTTTAAAATGAATCAGGATAAACATTACCTTGTGGAGGATGAGTGGACACTCCAGGCCGCACTTGCAGGTCCCATCTGTCAGCAGGTAGCTCTTCACATGCTCCAAGCTGGACAGCAGCGAGCCACTGGGACTGCACACAGAAAAACACAAAGTCAGGCTGAGGACACACGTCAGGTGCAAACGCTCCAGAGGAAAAAGGGGGTGACTAAGGGGGTGACTAAGGGGTGTCAATATTTTGGTTATTCACAATTCGAGTTGGAATCCTGGGGTCACAATTAAATTCATTATCAATTCTGTGCATACGGGTTGCTGTGCACTTACAACAACAACAAAAATCTCAATGTGAAAGCAGTAGTTTGCAAAAGCTTGTAAATGTCTTCCTTTTATATGTGTACTTATTTCTTATTAAAAATGTAAAAACATTTATATTTACTAGTATTTATAGAAAAATAAACCTATTATTCAGCTTAATATTTAATATTCTGTCACATACTTATGTATATATAATACCTTGCTTTATATCTTGTTAATTTGTAAATGTATATTTTCTACTTTCTTGTTTATTTCTTGTCTTTTAACTTGTATTGTACAAACCCATGTCTTTTTATGCTGCTGCAACACAAACATTTCCAAAATTGGGATCAATAAATCTTATCTTATCTCTTATTCTATTGTGGCGTTTCTTTTTGTACTCCCAAAAGAAGACTATAACACGGGATTATTAAAAGACTATAAGTAAATACAAGAAATGTGATCAGGAGGTCAGTGAAGCAGTTTTAACCCTGGAGAAATGAGGGAGCTCAGTGCCTAAATATGTTGGATAAAATCTGAAGTACACACCCAGTGAAATATTTGAAACTTGCCACGAATGAAGAGCAGTATTTATGTATCAAACACACACATTGAAACAACAAATATATCTACTGAGGGGATCTGGAGTTACACATCCCTCAAGCTAATGTAAAAAAAAACATGGGCAAATACAAGTGTGCAGTGACAGTATCAGGCCACGGTCACAGAAGTAGACAGGATTCTTTCCAACCCCCAAAATAAACCTGACACCAGCCAACTGCTTTAGTTCATTGTGGCTGGTAAATGCACGTGCTGGGGTTCATATGCCGGGAAGGACACCAACTTCCAGTCTTCATAACACAATCACACAAGTAAGGGATCCAACCCGAGTCCCTGTAGCACAAGATGAGTGGATTTGGTGTACAAATGACTTGAAATGTCTCCGTCTAACAACATGTAGGCTCCAGTTTTTAAGGGATCGCCTATTGCAGTATTATCGGCAACAATATGTTCAAGAGCCTTTGCCAAAAACAACACTGCTGCTTCAGGAGAGTCATTTGGGGGAAAAACCATGACTACACACAGAAAGAAACACCATCAAAAGATATCATGTTGCTGTTCACCTCCTGCAGAGAAAATCAATTAGAGAGCCAAACGTGTGTAAACAAACCTGCTGGGCCATCTTTGATTTTGAGGGGCCGACAACAAATCCTGATGATGATGTATTGCTATATCAACTACAGGACTTCTAAAATGGAATCACCTTCTTTTGTCCACATAAGTCACGAGAGATGAAAGAATAAAAATGACTGCAATTGAAATCATTGTTAATATTGTTTAACTATGGCTTCTGCTTCCCAGATAAGAGGATGTGCTTCTTGTAGCCTTTTATTTTTTTTTGAGGGAATATCTTTACATTTGAAGATATCAAAATTATGCAAAGCCATTCAAGTTTTATCAAACTCACATATTCTTTTTTTATTAAATTAGCCGCTCTTTTGCAGGGTATATGCAGGAATCCTGAAGTCAAATGTAAGACCTTTTTTAAGACCCTTTCCATAAATGTTAAGACCTCATCGCCACTTGGAGTTTTAACCGGTTACATTGGCGACACACTTCACTTCACATTCACTATATACAGTCAGAGTTCCCATTAGAATATTTTTTTGCCGGTCAAAATGTCCGTTAAAGTTGAAATCTTCCGGGCAAAATTAGAAAAGTGCCGGTCAAAGGTCTTCTTTGTTATTTATTGAGCTTTAAAAATTGATATGACTCGATATTAAACAAACTAATTATAGTAGATTAACTATTCAAAAGTGTACAGTAACTTACAATAACACGGGAATAATAAACGGAGCGCTCTCTCCCTCTCCTGACAGCCCGTCAGTATCATGCAGATCAGTAATGAGTGACCCGACAGTAAAACTAAACATATCTATAACTAGTTACGGTAGTTTGAGAGGTCATTAAAATAGCTACGTGTGATATTCTAACCTGAAGTGTGTGTTTTGTTCCGCTCACCGCTGCAGGTGATCATGCAGAGCTGCGTGTCGACTCGTCAGCAGCAGCTGATCTCTCTCTCCCGTCAGATTAGACTTCACTCGCGTTTATGTCCATATCGATCAGATCTAGCTAGTTATAGCTAATGATAGGACTACCTGCTTATTAAAAGACACCTAAACAATAAGTGTCGCTATGCAACCGGGTGAGGCTGCAAAGTATAGCGCAGCATTATGCATTTGTTTACATGCCCACCGGAACCCAGAGGCATTACCAACAGATCAACGCGCAATCAACCCATGGGAAAACTCTGGGTTTCCGGTCCTACGAAGCTGGTTCTCTTTTTAGCAGGCTAGATCTCCATGGTAACTTATGCTGTGCGGCTAACCTGCTGCAGGCTAAGAGCTCAACTCAGTGAAAGCACTGCCTGCTGACCAATCAGAGCTCAATGTGCGGAGTTTAAAGTGATCAAGTCATATTACAGGAGAAAGGAAATACAGAAAAGCTGCCGTTGCAGGAAAGACGGCCGGCAAAAATCACCGACTGTGTGAACGTGAACATTAATAGAATATCACCTCCCATCTTCAGAGCAATCTGACTATTATAACATTAGCATTAAGAAAGCTTACTTAAATATCTGCCACAACATAAGTAACCGGATCAAAGTAACATTAAGTACAGTCCGCGGCATATCACATCATAATGTATCATATATCTCCTTATCTGAGTCAGCTGAGCCGTATCTGGCCGTGCAACACTCACAGTGTCACATACTGTATGCAGAAGTATTATTTTAAGCAACACATTAAGTTGACGAAACACTCGAGTCAAATGTAATTAAAGTCAGATCGTGTCTTAGACGGGGCATATCATAAACCTGTTAATGTACGCATTCAAACACTTTTTCTTTTACCAGCTGTATTTACCTTGCATACTGGATAAAGTGTTTAAGTCATGGATGTTTAAAGTTTAACTTCTTCATATTTTACTAATATTAAAATTCACTTTTCATTCAGGAAGTATGACGCTGCGCTGTCAGTACGCTTGTCCATGTTTGTGATTGGTCGAATGCTCCAAATACCACCCCTTATATGTGAACGCGCACCTAACTAGATATGGCACGGCTGGCTTGAGCGATCCACTTGATAACCAGCGTCGTAAGACCGCTTAGCGAGAGCGCGTATGTTTTGGATTAGGCCAACCGGCTAACTCAAACATATCCAGGTTATGTTGAACCAACTTCGTAGTACAGGCCTCTGTTAAGCCCCAAGCCTGTTTTTCAGGTCTCAGGCTCGAAAATGACATTTCCAGAACAAATGACCATATCTTCCCTTCTAAAAGGGGAAAATTAATAATCTTTTCTCTCAAAGTAATGATAAACCTGTGAGTTGGATGTAGAAAAGTCAGAATCAATATAGATGTTTTTTATTTGAAAAAAAAATTCAGATTGAACAAAAATGTAAATTATAGTGTCCGTCCAAAAATTCTTTTTTACTTATAGTGAAAACCACCCTTGGATGATGTTAACCCTAACCCTCACTATCAACACGTCCAGAAGAATGTCATGCAAAACCCCCCCGCAGGACTTGATACGCCCTCTTGATAAATACATGTAATTTTAATGAAACCAGCTGCAATGGATCATGGATCCACCAGGGGGAGCAGTGNGTGAACATTAATAGAATATCACCTCCCATCTTCAGAGCAATCTGACTATTATAACATTAGCGTAAAAAAAGCTTACTTAAATATCTGCCACAACATAAGTAACCGGATCAAAGTAACATTAAGTACAGTCCGCGGCATATCACATCATAATGTATCATATATCTCCTTATCTGAGTCAGCTGAGCCGTATCTGGCCGTGCAACACTCACAGTGTCACATACTGTATGCAGAAGTATTATTTTAAGCAACACATTAAGTTGACGAAACACTCGAGTCAAATGTAATTAAAGTCAGATCGTGTCTTAGACGGGGCAGTGATATCATAAACCTGTTAATGTACGCATTCAAACACTTTTTCTTTTACCAGCTGTATTCACCTTGCAGGTGCAGCTATGTGGCTTTTATCCTGGATAAAGTGTTTAAGTCATGGATGTTTAAAGTTTAACTTCTTCATATTTTACTAATATTTAAATTCACTTTTCATTCAGGAAGTATGACGCTGCGCTGTCAGTACGCTTCTTCATGTTTGATTGGTCGAATGCTCCAGATACCACCCCTTTCATGTGAACGCGCACCTAGATAGGGCATGGCTGGCTTGAGCGATCCACTTGATTACCCGCGTCGTAGTACAGTTTAGCGAGAGCGCGTATGTTTTGGATTAGGCCAACCGGCTAACTCAAACATATCCAGGTTAGGTTGAACCAGCTTCGTAGTAAAGGCCTCGGAACCCCGAGGCATTACCAACAGATCAACGCACAATCAACCCATACGGGACATCTCTTTCTCCACATTAAGTGTTAGACATTAGAATTGACTATTCTTGTCTGTCACACACTATTCTTGTCTGTCACATAAGTGGCGCAAGTTGCACAACTGATGTGGTATTGCGCTAAGGGGAAATTATTTTGACCGGACACTTTGACCGGAGAGATTTAGATTTGCCGGTCTTCAGCATATTTTACCGGTCATAGTCCGGTAATTACCGGCTAACGGGAACTCTGTGTACAGTATTGATTTTCCTTCCTCCTTATCTTCCAACCATTTGGACGCAAACTTGCATTTCCCCATAAAGATGTTGTTTGACAACCGGCGTAAACGGGCCTTCGCGCTATCAGTCAGTGAGCGTGCAATGTCCTGTTCAGATGACGTCAAACCCAACGGGATGCCATAAATAAACTACACAGAATCACACTGCACACCTACGCAATGATTACATTCAGGCACACTCCAGTGAGCAGCCTCTTTGGACAATTTATATACTTATTGAAAACAAGCTACAAAATGTAATACCTTGGAAAATGCCCTTTAATAGCCTTCATTTTCGCTTAATTTATTTATAAACTTTTAATACTTTTTAAGACCCCGAGGACACCCTGTTTCGGCACGACTTATTTTATTACAAATCTGTCAAAAAAGTGTGACAATATTGTCAAATTGTTTGGGTCAAGAGCCTGACAGCTTTAGTAAGTATCCCCAACTGGTCAAAAATATTAAGCAAGTATGTATACTCTAATATATTAATTTTATTAATTGTGAAAAGATACATTTATAATGGAACTGAAAACAGTGAGGAGTTGCTTGCTCTTCCTCTTACCTTATGTATATGACCCCTCCGCTGCGCTCCGCCTTGCGCTGCCAGCCAATGGGGACCTGCACAGGGGTGGCATGCCTCTCATCTCCCGCCTCACAGTCCTTTCCGCCATTCATTGCTCCACTGGTTTTACACTCGACACCTCAGAGGTATATATATCAGACATCCACCAGCGTCCTCGCCACGCACGTCATGTCCGTCTTCCAAAGCCGTGATGGAGGAGGGGGTGGGAGGGTGGAGGAGACGGGGAGGGCTGCAGGATTACGCTTCAACGTAGGACTCTGGGTGGGTGGTGGGGTAGGGTGAGGCGAGCTCACAGCAGACCCTACCCTTTCAGCTGCCTCATGGCTAGAAGACTTCAAGGCTTGTATTGTCATGTGTGCATAGCTACAGTGTAGTTATGACTATGAAAATCTTAGGTCACAGGCTCTTCCAACAGTGCAACACAGTGCTGAATATTGCACGGACTTCCATTACTGCATCTTGTCACTCAGAGCCATGTGACTCAGGAAGATTGCTGGCTGCAGAAACAGGGATCAGGAGTCTCTGTGCTTTCAGAGGGTCGTTGTGTACTATTAATGTTTTACCATTTGTCTTTTGCCTACCAGGACACAGTCCCTCAGTCGGACAAGTACAATGTGTTCAACATATTGGATCCCAAACGCAGTTGGGTAGTGGTATTCCCATGGTTCCTGTGAGGACAGAACGGAAAGAGAATACACATTAATTAATGGTCGATGGGATTCATTTGCTTTGCATGAGTAAAAGTCCATAATTTAATCTGCTCTGGGAATAGAGTAAAGCTCCTTAAAAACCTTCTGTTCCCAGAGTGCAATATTATCCAATATGTTACAAGAGCAGGACCAGGTTTTATACAGCCAAACATGATCAAAATGCTGCTTTTGCAGATAAGCTCAGTATACTGCATAGTACATTAAAATGCTTCCACTATTGTATTACAAATATTACAGGTTTAACAAAACATCTTGTGAATAAACACAAGACTTTTGCCATAATTATGACACTGGATAGACAACAACAACAACATTGACACAGCATTACTGACATTTTCTTAAACTCCTAAATCAGTCAAAAATAAAATCACAATACGTAATTTTTTCAGAAGTGTGCAGTCCATACTATGACACGAAAAAGCTATTATTTTCCCTCTCCCCTCTCTCAGACAGAGCATTTCAAACAGTGGTAGAAGACTATGTTTGCTGGGAAATGGGGCTGAACTCAGTATGTGAGCGATGGCGCTCCATGCAAAGCCTCCTCTCTGCCGTCGGTGCTGCTGACTCATAACTGCCCTGTGAGCTGCTGAGACCGAACCCAGTGACACCACCACAGAGGAAGAGAGAGAGGTAAGGAGGGCGCAGTTAAACGTATGCCGTTTTATCTTGGAAATACGCAGAAGCAACACCTCATCATCTCAGGAGAAGTGCGTAGTGTCCTATCAGAGAGACATTAACATCGTTTGAATCTCATTTCCTAGATATTCTTGTTTGGAAAATGCAAAGGTAAAAAACGTAATTCACATTACGGTGTTCACATTGAAGGGAAATTATTTTTCCAACAAGTGCTTAGTTGCTCTTTGAGGAAGTCTCTTGCTGTGACATATGTTTCACCTCTCTATTTCTAAGCTTTCCTAAGGCGTAAGCAGAGAGGGGAGTAATCTGCAGCCAAAATCCTGGAGCAGATTCAAACCAAAGACATCTTGATTAATATTACAAAAGGTGCCAAAGCCAATGTTTTCATCTTTAACATTTGGCACAGGAACACAGTCTAAATCAGCCCCCTAACTAATGCAAACGCACAAACTGAAATCACGGCTTCCATTATTCTACTGCCCATCTCTCCCCAACTCTCAAGCATTACCATGTCCAAATAACATATGGTACCTGCTAATCTGTAACCTTTTACTGCGGGCGGATTGTTTTTAAAGATTATGTTTTCACATTTATTATTCACAGCACAAAGAAAGGGGCAGACAGGCGAGAAGAGCAGAGGTGGTCAAACTGGGGACATTGTGGGAACATTAAAAGCCAGAAATGCAGTGACAATTCAATTATTACTGCACTAGAAACATCTAAAAGGTGGATTTTCCTCAAAATATTCTGTTAAGTGACCAAGGCAGGGTGGCTTTGCAGCAATGAAGTTGGACCAGCTAACACTATTTCAATGACAGCTTCTGGAGCTTGATCACGTACGATAGATCTGTCTAGCGTTGCACTCTGATGCTTAACTATAAATCACCACACATTCTTCTTTAAATGAAATCAATGTTTTCTCTTTAAGCTTTACATCAATACAATTGGACTCAGCAATATGCAAACTACATTGGTTATCAGTGAACTGGTGAATCTTTAGCATGTGGACTGCAGCCAGCTAGATGAAGCTTAATGAACTGATGAGCCACGATGACGTATGGTATTATTGTGGCAGAAAGTATGGAATAGGAGTTAATGCAGAAGAAGAAATAAATATAGCCAATGGAGACTGACAGCAATGCAGTCTCAGAAAGACAGGAAGAAAATAATGTTTAGATACAAATCCTATCAAAATGACAAGTGGAACCGCAGCCAACGGTTCTTGAGTAACTGGATTTGCAGTCCATTAAGCACGGCAACTTAATTAAATGAAAATGTTCTCTCTCAATGTTCACATTTGTAAGAATATGATCAGACAAAGTAGCTTTTGTGCATCTCATTACGTGGTCAAAAGGAAGTTTTCATTACAGTGGCTTTTATCGTGATATTTGTTATTTTACAGTCAAATCAATGCATCCTCTTTATTTACTATTCTGATCAAAGAGGGCTTTAGTCCTGGAATTAAAGAAGTACTTGTTGTATCATTCTCACCATAACACAAACATATCTGGTCAACTGTACACAAAAACTTGCGATACAGACCACCACAAGATCTCCAAGGCCATGACTAAAGTGTTCCAGCATTTGGAATGTAGTAACACACTTCTCTGTTCCAAACATAAACATTAAATATGATATGACTCCTAAATAAAGCTAGTAAGAAATGATAACAGTGAGAGGATAGCCTTTTAAATTAAGGAACACAATCTCAGTCTAGTACAACCTTAAGACATATATATGTTGATACTGAATGTGCCTCACAGCAGTCCTGACTTAATGGGATTTAAGGTTTGTCACGCACTAAACACCATGCATGTTATATGCAGATAAAGTGTATGTTTATATACAGCAATAATAACAATTGATCTCAGACCATTTATGATTCCATTTGTGTTACCACGCAGGTACATTAAGAGGTTTGCAGTGCTATATGTCACCTTGAACACATGTTTATGACGTTTAACTTGTAATATGCTCAATGTAAGGTTTACTAGGCAGTCTGGGGCACGTTTTTATGGTGACATATGTCCCTGCCCACAAATCCTAGGGCATTTTGGTGCATAATATCTGCCCCCTCGTGATCTAAACGCATAGTGCCATGAGAACAGAGTAATATGTTGTCAAATATAGCAAGATTGGGGAATAGGTAGCAGTGGAAGTAACCTGCACAAAGCATGTACTGTGTGTGGAGTATAATCCTGGGCTTGATAAATAGGAATGGACAAACTGTGCAACACCAAAATAGATCAGCAGTATATACTGCCCTCTGATCTCCTCTCACTGAACCAAAGACATCTACCACTACTCTTTCAGACAAGATTAAATCCATTAATTCTCAACCTAGCATTTAAATCTTGCTGTAAGCCCATGGAGTTGGCTAATGCTAGCTGTAGGGGTAAATTAGCCATATTGTCCTGCAGCAGCATTCAAAAGTGACAGCTTAACAAGTTGGCTAACGTTACATGACAAGAGCTTATCCCTAAAACTGGAGAACATGACAACCGCTTGTGTTCACTACCAAAGCAACCCTAGGTACCTAAACGTTAGCTAATAGCCAATTAGCTTAGTGAACATTAGCCAGATTGCCTATCAACTGTGCCAAGTGTTGCTTTATTAAGGTTTTAACGACAACCGTTTGGCGTTTGATGTTGTCTACTCTATCACAAAGCAATATATATACTTGCAAAACCATCGTCAGTGGGCCTCCGTGTTGAGAAGTGACCGTGTCAACAAGCGAAATCAGTCTTGTCTGACTGTGCTTTTTGATGCATTGGAAACAGCATCTGAACTAGCTGGAGCTGTTAGCATGCCAAGCGTCAGCTGTCTAGCTATCGCTAGTTAGCTAGCCAGCTAGCTTGTTGTAACGAAAATGAATTAGAGGGCGAGCTCGGCTACGCTAATAACGCTTTAGCATTTAATTGGGGACCCGTAACCGGGTTTGTCCAAGTTGAGGACCCGACACACACATTCCGACTTTATATTGTCGAAGTAAAACAGAAGCTAGGCCCGCGTTAGGTGTCGAGCCAAGGGGCCAGGCAAGGCCAGGGCCAGGCCGAGTTAGCACGGGTTAGCTTAGCATGCTAGGTGCAAACCCGTTGCGTTTGCAGAGAGAGCGAAGAAGAAGACAGAGACGCTTTTCAGGCACTAACGTTTCTGTCTGCGTGAAGTAAAACCATAAACAGTCCGTTCTAACCCGGGCATGTCGGCGAATGCACACCGGTACTGATACAGAGAAATGGGCGAGCAGCAGTGCGTTTCTGACCTTTTAAAAATAAGAATAAGAAGCCTACCCATTAGTTCTCTGCCTCTGCTGGTTCTCTTACACTGGGATATTGGAAATGATGGAGAGCCGCAGTGCGCATGCGTTGCAGGAGCAGCCAGCAGATGGGAGAGGTGATGCACGTTACCCCCAGAGCTCAGATACATGAGCTCTGCATGGCAAAAGTTGGGAACACAATTATGACATAATCTTGAAACAACTGGATGCGTGGGTGGGGTGACTCACACAGTGCTGTCGTTTTCAGTAATGGCTCTCTCTGGAGGGATTTGGGGGCCTTCCTGAGAGAGCTTCAGCTATCATTGGCAAAGTAAAGAACAATATCTGTGTTATTTGACTTATTTTATTTCAGTCCTCAGACAGAAAATCAAATAATGACCCCAGAGATTAATCGGTTGTTGCACCCTTTTTATATTGAGGTATCCACAACGTACAAATAATTTTAGTGGTCGATGCCAAACATGGTGCAGAATTAAATCAAATACAAATAAAGGACATTTAAACTGATTCTAACACTGTAATAATCAAAGTTATAAGCATTGTCAGTGATAAAGAATCACTGACAATATCTCCATAAACAGCAGTTAATGTCATTAATATTGTGTGAGCAAGTTAATACTATTAGCTGCATATTGCTGTTAATAATTCATTATAATAATTTCCAGGCATCAATTAAACTTGACTGTATCACCTCTAGCAATTCATCAACCTTAATGAATTGACTCTAAAATAAGGAAAACAAAAAAAATAAACATAATAATACAAAAACTATACAATATACAATATAATACACTTTTACCAGACCTTAAAATATGCAACATAGTGGTATTGAAGCATAAACAGATGCAAAAAATACAAGCGCTCAGAAATAGAGGGCGTTCAGTGATCTGAAGTAAAAAAAAAAAGGAGATGCATTTCAGGGAGAAAATGCTTGAATTTTGTCTGAAGGTCAGACCTGAGGAGACGGTAAATTAATTCAGTGTTTGGCTGCTGTAAAAGGACCGCTTCATGTATTTTTAAGGCCAAACACAGAGCAGAATGTGTGAGCGGAGAGCCGCATTTTAGCATAATGTGACAGGCTAAATGTGAGCGGAGACTGGGAGGCGATTTGTGAGATGTCTGGTGGTTTATTGTGCTTTTTTCATCAGTCAACCAAAAGCCACAGGAAGCCTTTAAGTATCTCCAGAGCTTCGTCATTATTGTGAGTGAGTAAAAGATGTAATGCAGCCATTCAAAAATCCCTCATGATTGTATCAAAATCAGAACAGTGGTGGCAATTATGGCTTTGCAGATTTTAAATAATTCATTTTTTTAGCCTGAGCATCCAGTCATCATCTTATTAAATGCTATATCACATATTCATTTTATTTTTTTAGAACAAACCAATGTTTTCTAAAATGTAATTATGTGGGGCTTGTCTGGATTTAGTTTGTCTTAAAGATGCATAAGTGGGTCTTTTTTGACCCGGTGAGGTGGTTTTCTTGAATATCTTTGTAATTACATTTTTTCATCATTTCATATTCCAGCTATTCCTCAAAAAACATGTTTTGGATATCATGCCATTCAAATTTTAAATTTAAATTTTAAGAAATTGTAGTTTTTGTATTACTACACCAAGCTTCTATAAGTGGGTCAAAAATGACCCGCATGCATTTTCTATGGGAACCTTTGATTATTATCACCTGTGTCAGGACTACATTCACTGTAGACCACATAGACAACATCACAAGTGACACCTCTCAGGAAGATTATTTTATATTATTTTACACAGCAAGATCTGATAATAATAATAATAATAATAATAATACATAATGTTTTTTTTCAAAATGTAATTTTTTTTCGAAAATTATAAATAGTGAAAAATTAAATATAAAATATTTCTAGTGTGAACCAAAATATAATACAAAATATTATACAAGTGATTTTTCTTAACCAAAATGACAAAAATGGCATAAAAACACATTATTCTAATACGGGGCCTTTTTTTACCCACTTATGGAAGAGTGTAGGGTCCAGTCACTCGGGCATCTAAGGGTTAAGAAAGTAAAGAGGATACATTTGAACCTATACACCTGGGTGTTATTGAATATATAGGCTTACATTTTGAAACATGTTTGATGGTCAGCTGCAATTCTTTAAGTTATGGTTATTTTGAATGTGCTTTAAGACAAATGACATGTTATTATTTTATGCTGAAATGTCCAACACCAAATGCTAATGAAGACTATCATTTGTGGTCAAAAGCTCTGGCAAAGGATTTTAAATGGTTACAAATAAAATAAAAACAGAAATATTAACAATAACATTTAATTACAAACACAAACAGTGACGAAAATGGCTATTTAGGTGACAGTGCAAATTGAAGAATAAAAGGTATTCTACTCCGAGCCTCAGCCAATCAGAGCCGGAGAATCAGTCAAAGCCGGAAGTCGTCACTGCTGGCAAAGTACTCTTCCCGCGAAGATTGAGAACGCCTATGGAAGGGAATTACTGTTTTTCAAGGTATGTCTCTTTATTTTTTGACATGCTTACATTGCTAGACTAACTTAAGTGTTTAACTAAGTAGTGTCACTATTTAAGACGGAGCGTGCTGCTGCTAAAGAGCCCGGTGACAGCGTGGAGAGAAAGCAGTACCAAACTCCATTCGTAAATGATGACACATTAGTTTCTCCTTGTGTATTGCAAATATTAACAGATCTTGAATGCAAATTACGATCATTATCAAATAGCTACGAGTCACTTTGTTATTCGGCATACAAATCATCCACTTATATTGATGTATTAGTTTATATAGTAAGATTCAGGCTATATTGTATACACATTTCTTAAGTAGAAGTAGTATTGGTGTCACGCACAGTGAGATCATAGTATTCACGATTAATAGATTGGAGTTTGGCGTAGCAAGTGTCATCTTGCAATGTAAGTGCATTTAGTGGACATATTCCTACAGTAGCCTATAAGATTTCAATTTACATGAGATAAAATACAGTGAGGAAATAGTTCATTGTGCAGAAAGCACAACAGCAGAGGGATCAATTCTGATATAATTACTCTCATATTATGGTGCTGCTTAATACAATAAAACCACACTAAAGTAGATCGCATTTTTTGGGATGTCTTATTTAGGACCGTTGGAAGTCCCTGAAGCGCATTTTAACCCATGATCTCCACATTTTGCAGTTTATAATCTCAGCACCATGAGCAAGAGGAAGGCGAAAGATGCTCCTTTGCCAGTAGGAGAATGCATTTCACAGGTTTGTATCGGCCAATCATCTTCTAACTTGTTTATGGTGGTGTGTCCCTGTAATGACGTCTATATTCATCTACATTTATCTACAGGTTCAGGACATTTTAAGGAAGCGGCTTTGCCATCAGCAGCTTCCTGACTCACCGGAGGGAGTGGAGGCTCAACACAAGTAGGTTTACTTCAATAATAGTCTTAACACTTTTTATAATTTCTAAAGTCTGTTGCTATTGTAGAAAAATCTATCTGTAATTTGCATTTAGATTGTTAAACTAAAAAGTACTAAAAAGTAAAACTGTAGTAGGTTTGTCATCTGTGAAAAAGAGATGATTCTCTGTGACCCAGTCGAGTCTTTACCTGGCTAACGGTGCTGTTCCAGTTCAAAAGTGTGAAAAGCTCCATTTCCCAGCTGACTTGAACACAACACGAGTACATTCATTCCTTTATACTCATTAGATGAGGCTGTTTCTGCAGGTAGAAAGGAAAAGAGATAACACACTTTTTTTCTTCTACCAAAGAAGCATTGTGGGTATTGTAGTTAAAACACTATATTTTCAGACACCTCCTGGAGCTGCTGAAGCGCACGGCCGTCCACGGGGAGAGTAACTCGGTGCTGATTGTCGGCCCCAGAGGATCAGGAAAAACAATGGTGAGCGTCTGCAGCCAGAAGCCTGAAATGGGCTTATGGGTAGAAAGAAAAATGGCAGAGAAGAAGATGGATTGTGTTGGAGGTGTGTTTAAATCCTGGGAGGGTTGTTTTGTCTCATGGTGTGTTTGTGTTTTTGTGCCTGCAGCTGCTGAAGTGTGTGCTGAGAGACCTGCTAGAAGAAAAAGAAGTAGAAAAAAATCTGCTGCAGGTTCATCTCAATGGTACAGACTCTGATACCTCACCAAACACAATGTTATTTATGAGATAATGTAAATATGTAGAACATTTGTTATTGCCAGATTAGCCTTTTCTATGTCCATTTGACCAGGGTTAATGCATCAACCAGATAATAAACCATTATGACTTGCTAAAAATGTCTCTGAGTACACATCACCAGATACATTTCTCGCCTGTTTGCTGAAGGTCTCCTGCAGACTGATGACAGAATAGCGCTTCAGGAAATGACGCGGCAGCTCCACCTTGAAAACGTTGTCGGGGACAAAGTGTTTGTAAGTATCTGGATTGAGTTGTATCCATATTTTGCCATTTAATAATGCTAAAAAAGCTGCTCTAAATACCTGCTTCTGTGTCAACCCAGGGAAGTTTTGCTGAGAATCTGTCTTTCTTGCTGGAGGCATTGAAGAAAGGTAAGAAAATGCAACACTGATAACGTACTTTTGGATTAAACTGCCTACATTTAAGGCCACCTGCTTCTTTCCTCCAGGTGATCGCAGCAGCAGCCGCCCGGTGTTGTTCGTCCTGGATGAGTTTGATTTGTTCGCCCACCACAAGAACCAGACGCTGCTCTACAACCTGTTCGACGTCTCTCAGTCTGCCCAGGCCCCCGTTGCTGTGGTGGGCGTCACCTGCAGACTGGTGAGCTTCACTTCACCCTCCTCACCGTACAGAAATCATACTGGCGGTTTGATTTCAAACCTTTTTGTCGCGGTGTATCATTTCCATTCCAGGATGTTCTGGAGCTGCTGGAGAAGCGGGTGAAGTCGCGGTTTTCTCACCGTCAGATCCACCTGCTGAGCAACCCCACCTTTAGTCAGTACCTAGAGCGGGTGCAAACACAACTCGGCCTGCAGGACGACTTCCCCGACAAGACGTTCGCTCAGGACTGGAACGCCAGCGTCAAGGTGGAGCAAGGGAACAAACATGTTGAATTCAAAATGTGTGGATCACGCTAAACAGTTTGTTGTCTTTATTCAGACTCTGTGTGAAGACAAATCGGTGGAGGATGCTTTACAGAGGCACTACAACTCCAGCAAGAACTTCCGTTCAAACCACATGTTGCTGGTAAAACACACTACATTTTAGATATGTTTTGTACCCCATTCTGCAAAGTACCTTACTCTACTTCTAACATTTATGGTGTTGAATCCCTAATAGTTACCCTTAATATTTTATAAATCCAGGAAAGAAGTATATAATGTTCTTTTAGACATGTGCAATTTGTGAACCCTTGATTAAAGGAAAAACCTGTTTTATGTGCAGATGTTGTGCCTGAGTCGTGTGTCTGTAGCCAAACCTGCCATCAAACCTGCAGACCTCCTGGAGGCCAGCAAGATGTGTTTAGTCGACGCCCAGGCCAATATGCTCCACGGTAAAAAATAAAAAAGAATCACAAAAATTAGGTATTTGACACTTGAACTTTTCAATTAGTTCACACTTGTTGTATTTTCTCTTGTCTTTAGGTCTGTCTATTTTGGAGTTGTGTCTGATCATCGCCATGAAACACCTCAACGACGTCTACGACGGAGAGCCGTTCAATCTGCAAATGGTCCACAACGGTAAATAAAGACTCTAGTTTTTGTAATAAGAAAAACACTGGATGGAGCTGAACATTGATAAACTCCTTTGTTTTTTTTAGAGTTTAAGAAGTTCCTGCAGAGAAAGTCCAACTCCATGTACAACTTTGAACAGCCTGTCATCATGAAGGTGAGAATAAAAACATTTTAAGTCCTAGACAAACAGACAATATTAAAATCTTTGTATATAAAAACTACTTTTATTCACCGACAATCCCCCGCCCGTCCTCAGGCCTTCGAGCACCTGCAGCAGCTGGAGATGATCCGGCCGGTGGACAGCTCCTCGGCCAAAACTCAGAGGGAGTACCAGCTGATGAGACTCATGCTGGACAACACTCAGGTCTTGGAGGCCCTGCAGAAATACCCACAATGCCCCACTGACGTCAAGCAGTGGGCCATGTCGGCGTACGGCTAGGATTTCTAAATCCATTTGGACTTTATGTACCCAGAACTGTTTGAGAAAGTGTGAAATAAACCTGAGGAAGATCTCTTGTCAAATGGAAGCACTGCAGCTCAAGACTAAGGACCACATAAAACTGTATAGTTTTCTAACTGTTAAAATAATTGTATGTTAGGATTATTTGTCACTAATTCACCCAAAAAAGCAACAAATAAAACACTTCTCACCAGATTTGGTAATGAAAGGATTCTGAAATTGATATTATTTAAAAATAAATACATGTCTCAATAAAATAAGACTTTTGTTTTCTAATTTGACCATATTTCAGCTTGAATTCCACTTTAAAAAGGAGAAAGTTCATGCTGGAGTCAGCACTTCATCAGCTAGACGTTGCCATCTAGTGGTGGATTTCTGCAGCAACAGCAGGAAGGACAAAGACCCTCATTAGATGGAAGAATGCAGTAATCTGGCCTGAATCTCACCACTATGTGCTTCTAAGGAGAAACATTTAATATTCATGTATTGGTTCAATCACGTTGGATAATGCAGTGATTTTCTTTTTATATACCAGAGCTAAACACGCTGCACATACTGTACATATATGCCGTTAACGGGTCTATTTATAACACCGATGTACCATAACATGTTTAGGACTTTGTTGAGGGCCTTAAGTCCTGCAAAGAAGATCCAACAATAAATCAAATCTTGCATTTTTAATAAAGTATAATTACTTACTTCAATTAATTTGATTGACAGTGTCAGTTATAATAATTCCATTATCTATTAACTGAAGGAGACATTTTGATCGTCTTGTTCAAGGACACCTATTTGAAGAACAAACAAACTCTCTGAACACATGATTACTTTGTTCTAGTGCACAATAGTTCAAATAAGTGTATTACGATGCATTTTTGTTATGTAGCCGGCTTGAATACTCAACCTGTTAGTAAGACAAAAGAAAAACATCATAGTCACAATCTAAAAACACATTTATTTACATCACGTGGATCACTTCAGCTGATAAAAACCATTAACCGAGAGTTGCAACGCTGATCAGGGATCGATTAAATCTCCTCTGTGATATTGCATTCAGGGTTTCTTAAGGTTTATTCTGCTTTAATACTTTGCGAAGGGAATTGTCTTTTCTCTGATCCTCCCATGACCCTTCACTGGGAGCTATGAGGTCAGGACCACAACCTATGGAGAACAAAAATGTCCTTTCTCCATGTGGTATATTTGTGTTGTACTAACTCCTTCCAGGTGTTAATGTCATGTTCTATGTTCACATCCTTTTGTAAGTAACATACAATGTAATGTCACATGAATCCGGAGTAAGAAACGAGACATTTTCCGATTTCTTTTTCACAACCCACTTTCATTTTTGGGTCCCTAAAGAATTATATTTATAAGTATTCTAAAACCAGAAACCCGATGAGCATCAATATCATTAGAGCATGTGTTGGCAGATCCTGGACCAGCACTGCAACTCGAGGGCCTTGAGAAACGAGGGGGTCAAAAACATTTGTTTTCGAGGGGGGATTTTTTTGTAGAAATTTCCGGCCTGGCAACCAGACTCATCTTACGGCCAAGACAGTCATAGCGGCGAGGTCATTGGAGTTCAATGTTTCCTCTATAATTCTTATCAACAGTGGGAAAAGGAGGAGATTGAGATGCTGGAATGAAATACCCGTAGTGGGTGATTGCATTATCACACATGGAGTATTGCAACAGATTTTTAAGAGCTTTGGGGATTCTTCAAAATGCAACCGACAGGGGACCCGAGTAGGCTCCTTGAGGAACGCCCTGGGCTCAATGATCGTCATTAGCTGTTTGTTTTTTCTGCCAAGGAACCCTTAAGTGCTTTCTTGGATGCCTTACAAAGTACTCCAATGAGCCTCTAGCTTTTAGCTTACACAAAGCTCAACTTAAAGTTATTTTTTTCGTATAAAGGATAACTTTGAATGCAGCCGGGCCATGCCCTGCTGGCGAGTCAAAACACAAGAAAAATATAAATGAATGTAGAGGAAACACTGAAGTTCAACACACACAAAGATTCAGCTCAGAGTATATAGTTGATACAGGTATTTATGTTCTCATGTCTGTACAGATCCTAGACTGCTTAAAATAGTGGGGGCAACAAGACACAAATGTTTCACTGGTAGTTTATATGCACAGCAATGTGAGGTGCTGGGCTAGAGAAAGTCGAGATAGAAAAACGTAAACCCTGCATGCTAAGGAAACCCATTCATACACCTTTAAATGAAAACATCGACAGAAAAGACTGATTGCCTTAATTATCAAAAAAAAAAAAATCATCCTTAAATAATTGTATAAATGTGCGTTAAAATAAAATGTTACAGAATGCTGTGTGGACTAATAACACAATCAGTGAAATTAGCAAACAACCTAAAAGCAACGTTACCTATCTTTCAACTTATTAGAATGCAATCTCATACTTGTTTTATAACACACATCTCATGTATGCATGATGCCCACTTTCTGTCTTAATAAATACCAGTTGGTGTGTGGAGAACACTTGTTTGCACATCCGCCTTATGATTATGTAGTTAAATATTTCATTTTCAACCAAAAGAAAGCACATCATTTGCCGTAACTGTTCCTTTTCTTTCTGATTAGAGCAGGTACTCAATCAAATCTTCAGTAGGTAATTGTAAAACCAATTAAGTGTATGAATGGATCTCCTAATGTGTTGGTTTTACTAGTTTCTACGGCGACAGGGCACAATCACACGAGCCGAAGCCCTCTAAAGTTACACCGGGCCGGGCTCGATCCACCACAGTACACACAATACTGGAATCCAGGATTCTGAAGAACATTCATTCTCGGTCGTTTGTCCATAGAAAGAAGAACGTTTTACAGTTAATATCTTTTCTTTTTGACTTAATGAAAGTATTTCCTGAATTACAACTGAACACCCACCCACAACCACCCCCCCCAAACATCAACCAGAAATGGTGCCAACTCTTGTCGGACCTAAACTCCGATCCCCAAAACCTCAGGCCTGTAAATTAAAAAATAAATACAACATATCAATATGCAAGGATTTAAAAAAAATTAAAATGCTACAAGTTAATTGTGTGTGTGTGTGTATTGAAAGTCACTCCTGCAGAGGATCCTACAGCACTGTAGGGTAATTTGCGGCACTGGTTGCATATAACTTGCTAGAACTTAGAAAAGCATAGTACTGAATCCCTGAATGGTGTTTGTTGGTTTGGGTCGGTTTCTCAAGCGCAGTTTAAACTCAAGCTTTGTCTTAACACTGGAGATCTTCCACCGTCTACCTACAGTAGTGCCAACCAAACACTCTGGCTGCTGTAATACTGGTGAGTACTTTTTATACTTTTGGACACAAACTCGGGGGAAAAAGGTAATACTGGTGTTTTTTCCTCTGTGTTTGTGCTAGCTTGCAGGTCCGTTTTAGGTCATTTGCCTTATTTAGCTTCCGCAATTCATTTCATATGGAAAGAAAGGGGAGTTTACATTCAGAAATAATCCCCCAAACAGGCTTTTTAAACTTCTATCCGAGGAACGTGGTTATGATTTTGGTTCATTTGCCACACTCCCTTCCCCAAATAAGGTGAGGTAGAGCAGAGGTTCTGCTGAGCTGATCCTTCCTGACTTTAAGCTTCAAGAGGACTTCAGACAAATACTTTTTTTTCTTTAGCAGTTCATTAAAGCGGCAACAAAAGGAAGCAACATTGATGCAAATATCGTTATCGTGCTACAGTGGGCAAATAACAAGATGGCTTTAACTTCCTTCAGGTTTGCTGTGTTGTTGCAATAGTCTTTGATCTGATGATCATCAATTTCTGAACTTGTTTGCTAAGCTCTTATTTGCTCAAACACTACAGTACGGCGTTTGCTTGAAGATAAAGAAAGCATAATTATGAATCGGCCCTGAATGTGAAACAGTGTGGTAGTGTCCTTGTGTTTTTTTTAGTGTTTCCAAACACTTGATTTTAAACTGTCCTGTGAAACCGTTCCCAAAGCTTGAGGAGAGACTGCAGGTCACCAGTGTTCAATGTCCCTCAGAAGAAATAAAGAGTCAAAAATGTCACTGTGGCTTGCACCACTGTGACAGATACATCCGTTTTGCCTGACATCTACAAGAGTAACTAATATGGATACTTAGAAATGGCACCAGGATGAAAAGAGAGATTCCTCGTCTGACTGCGGTTAGCCGTGCGATCGTTTGGTTTAACACGATTGAAATGAGTTAAATTAAGCCCAGTGTGGGGAGAATTAAACTGCCCCTAACTGGCAGTTCATGTCTACAAATGATCACATAGTTAATTTGTGAAATCTGTTAACTTTGAAAATTGTCATAAAACACACCAGCTAGTTTAGGGAACTAGTGAGAAAGACAGCGGGGAGACGGAGAAAATAAAAGTAGCTTTTTTGGCTTGCTTGTCGAGACAGAAGACAAAAGGGACAACAAATAAGTGTTTGGGTAACATTTGACAAACTTTCTTTCAGACTTAAATCAAAACAGGGAAGGGCAAGAACTAGTAAAAGCTTACAGTTTCATATGTGGGATTAGTGTTTCAATTGAATTCGGACTGGTAATAAAGACACATTTTTGTAGCGTGAAAGCATTACAAGTGCCAAGTGAGAGGAAGTGGAAGAATCAGCGAGGTGGCGGGGGGGGGCTTAGGTGAGGAGGAGCTGAGTACCAAAGATTCCTGAGGTGTATCAAAACAGAGCAGAAAACTCTTGATAGTAATCCAAAACAAATTAAAGATGTGTGCAATCAAATCAAAAGCAAACCGGCTCAGCTAAATACAGGTTGGAATAATCCAAATGAGGGCTGGGTACCCCTTCACTTCAAAATGTGATACCTCTCCTAAAATAGACAAGTCGGATGATCTATTTTATGTTAACCTGCACTTTCTAAAGATAGAATCAGCACATAAAGATGAAAATGACAAGCGTGTTCTACCGTCTGATTTGAGCTGTTCCTTAATATCAAAGGTATCAGTAGTTGGTACCCAGCGCTAAACCAGAGAGATATAAACACGTATATATCCAGATCTCACTGCCAAAACTAGGACAGATATTATTACTCCGTAGACAGTTGACACGGCAAACCCAAAAAAAAAGAATCACTTTAAACGACAACTTTATCATGGGATGGGTGTCATTTGTCTTTTTCCCATTATCATAAGAAATACAAAAACAAAAAGGTGTTTTTTTTCAGTCAGGATGGAGGAAACCTCAACGTGAGAGGGGAGGAAAAGGGGAGAAACACTTGGTGTGTATGGCCATGTGTATTGAGGTCTTGCTGACTACATTACCCATAAGTGAGGCTGACAGCAGACTCATGAAGGTTGTGGAGAACCGTGAATAGGGAGAGGGTTCAATTTAAACTGTGTCCATCTGAACTGAGGTATACCTGGTTGAAGGAGGTTTATGGTTTTTTTATCGTTGTAATGCTTGAGAATGGACCCCCCCTCCCCCTTCCCCCTTTAAAATAAGCTCGATTACCAAGTTGTCTGGGTCCATAATACACTATGTACAGCAGCATTACACTATAAACATTCAGAAGCCGTTGCTTATTGGCAGAACGATAGTCGTTTCTTCAGAAAAACGCACACGAGAAAACAGCAAATGTATCCAGAGCCAGGTTTTTTCTTTTTTTTTCTTTTTTACACTAAAATGCACCGAGAGTCCTGTGAACTTTCCCCGCCGGATCTTCTCTCTCCGTAGAAAAACCGAGCAGAACGGGTCGCCCTCCTATGTGTGTGTGTATGTATATAAAAACAATACATGGTAGAAGTGTTGGTCGAGTGTCGTCGTCCCAGCATGTCCGCACTCGGTGACGCCGTTTGTCCTCGTTATATATCCTGAATCGATAGCTCGGAGATGAGAGAGTTTCAACCTTTAAAATGTTTCAAATCCTCAGGCACACATATCAAAATGAGGTGGATATCAACTCATGTGGTGAGGTGGGCGCAAGGTGTTTCCTGAGCGCGAGTAGCGGCCCGCACTTAAAGGAAAAAAACGGAAAAAAGGAAAGAACAAAAAATCGTTACGCCAACCAACCAGGGTTGGCTGCTCTTCCCCTCGTGTTGATCCGTGTGTCTTCACGTCAATCATAAGCTGGACTCCTTGGGCGGGAGGTCCACGTTGGTTACCATGGTGACGACGGTGACGATCTCCTCGGGGCCGATGGCGGGCGCCTGGCGCTGCATCTGGCCAATTCGCTCCTCTACGCAGCCGGCCGACAGGCGAGCCTCCGCCTCGTGGTCCCAGCAGTCCTCGATGGTCTCACAGAGCATGGCCAGACCCTGGGAGAGAACAGACATTAATGTTACTGCAAAACATACACAAATATATCAAATAGAAATCTAAGTACATTTGATTGTTTGCCTCAAAACGTAACACAAGGAATTTGGTGACATTTGGTACTACATATTGCAAACTTTAATTTTTCATTCTTATTTTGACATCCCTTGTGTCTTTATTGAGGATATATCTAATTTAACAATTGAACAACTTAAAAGCGGAGGCAATGTGTTTTCTTTGCTCACCGCGTGTTTCTGCCAGCAGTCTCTCAGGATGGGCCGCAGCTTCTTGTGAACGACGACGTCCTGCATGTCGTCCAGAGACGGATGCTGACCCACCTCCTCCTCGAACGGGAGCATGTACTCATCCACAGGGCCTGGAAACACACAACCACATGGTCATATTGTAGATTCATCTGGAGTTAAATCTGGAGTTAAATAACACTGCACTTATTAATGGCAGCGTTTTTCTGTCTCACCGTCGGCGGCGGTGCATCGCGAGGCGAGCTCCCAGAGGACGAGGCCGAAGGCGTACATGTCGATGCGCAGGAAGGAGTCGCGCTGGAAGTTGATGGCGCCCTCTAGGACCTCAGGAGCCATGTAGCGCCGCGTCCCCACCTGAATCAAATAGAAATCACAATGTAGTTATACAGCGCATTTGTCTGTATATTAAAAAAAAACATTAATTTCTGTAGGTAAATATCATAAAATTACAACATAGAACAATTAAGTTTACAAAATGGTAATGTAAAATATAAATAATAAATACATTTTTTTTTTTTTAATAAATACATTTACATATAAATTAAAATACAAATATACATTTTTAAAAATTATAAATTTAAAGAAACATAAAAAATATATACTAAAATAAAAAATATATATATAAGACCCAGGAGAATGTTCCTACAACTAAAGGTTCAGATCGAACAGCTCAAGAGGTCAGAACTGAACTGGAAGAATAAAACCATGACACAGCACAAAGAGGGCCTGAAACGGCGAAAATTGATGCTCGTAAGAAAGCTTTTCGCTTACCTGGCAGAAACACAAATCTACGTGTCCTAACCCTAACCCTAGAGGATCCGGTTTGACACAGAACAGATAAGAGAGAAAAGGCAGCTTTGTCTTTTCTGTTTGCTGCAGCCTTTTATTTAACAAATAAAAAAGTATCTAACACTGCACTGTAACTTTTATTATTTTATTTTACACCTGCTTGTTGAACTGTACCTGTCCATGTGTGTCTCCGGCTGATTTCCCTGCTTCAAACTGCAGGGCGAGGCCAAAGTCAGCTATGCAGGCCGTCAGGTTGCTCTTCAGCAGCACATTCTTACTCTTAATGTCCCTGAGAGGCAAACAAGAAACCACATTCAGTCCAACAAAACTCACGGGCCAGTCACAATGATACGTCTGTTTTTATATGAGATATTTGGGCAGCGCACCTGTGGGCGATGGAGGGTTTGTGTCCGTCCTTGTGTCCCGGGATGTCTTCGTGCAGGTAAGCCAGGCCACGGGCCGTCGTCTGAGTGATGTGGCACAGCTCGTTCCACGACACCACGTTGGCCTTCAGGAAATCCGTCATGGAGCCCTGGGGAGGATGAAGTCATTTCATTTATCTATTAGACCTATGTGATGTACAGGTATTTGTTTTTCCACTCGTCTCCTGCTGAGACCTGGCAACTATCCTCGTGGGAGACTGAGGCTTTTTTTTTTTTTTTAACCATGCATGCAGTTTGTCTGATGTTCTGTGAAAAGCACGTCCTGGGCTTTCTAGGGAATCAACTCACATGGGGATGTGTCTTTTGAAATGGTGGGAATTGCACATTTATTGTCTGACAGGCAGTGAACTGAGCAAATGTACAAATATATATTGTTACTTGTCTCTATAAGGATGTAGTTTTTTATTTATAAAAATGATATTAACATTTGATAAGCATATGATCATTTAAAGTCTTAAAATGTATCAAATTTATAAAGATTTCTATCTATTTGATTCTATATAGATTCTATTGTGAGTATAAACTAAATCATTTTAAATTCTTTGAAGTATATGATAACTTTTGAGCCACTCAAAGTACACATTATATATTTCCTTAGGGTGTGGACAGTTGCAATTGCTTATTTGTATTTTCATCCATTTTTCAGGAAACAAATTGCTAAGGGAGGGAAAATATACTTTGTCAAAATATAATATATAATATGAATTATTTAGGGAGTATCAACATTGAACTCTCAGGAGTGAGGCAGTCAATAAAGCAGGGTTTTCATGGGAATGTATTTCTAATATTCGTCTAATGAGATGAAAAAAATTCTCCCAGGTCTCAAGAGGATATAGAAACATGGGTGACGTCAGGGAAACGATAAAATCAAATGACTGCAGGGATATAAAATGCTAAATAATAGTATAGTAATGGCCAGAGCAGGTTTCCATGGTAACAGCAATATCCGTAATGACCGGAAAGTCACTCTGGCTTGTGGCTAGTATTACATTTCACCAATAAAACCAATTCTTTACAACATCAGCTGAATGGCTCTTGCGGTAAAAGACATCTTGTTGGATATTCAATACTGTAACTGTACAGATGTTTATCACTGAGAAAAAAAAGGGGATAGATTTATGGAGCTTCATATTTCAATGAAGGGTGATAAATAACACGACGCACTGGGTGTCCTTTTAGAGCCACAGTGAAGTCCTCTGGCCAACTCCCTGCTCATAGATTGTTCTGGTGAATAATGGCGCTGTGATAAATGCGGCTCATTTATCTCCTTGATATTTGTTCTTTATTCTGTCTTTATCAAGGGAAGGTTTGCTAGGATTTTATCAGCAAGGATATACTTAAATATCCGCTTCTTTTATCGTACTATTGAGACACATTTTCATCGTGGCAAATGCCTCTTAGTCACATTTGAAGATTTATATTAAATATTGCTGTATAGAAATCGAATTTTCTCCCAAAGAAGGATTATAATGCTGAGATGTACATGTTCAAGTTCTGCCTTACATAATGTATGTTCATTTCATACAAGGTCACTCATGAAAGCAGGTGCAGCTGCAGGAGTCACCACTAGAGGGCAGGCAGCTCCAAAACATGTGGAAATGTTTCTGTCTGATCACTTCTGTAGCCTTTTTTAAAAAGTAAATGTTTCCCAGTGTTACCTGGGCTTGTTCATTACTTCCAATGCTGTTCAATTATAAAAAAAACAAGGTGACCAATCAGACCAGCTCCCAGTTTGTGTTCAGGAGGCAGACAACTTTTCCATCCTTAAAGTGGACCTATCATGCTATATTTGAATAATACAGTGTAGGACCATACCTATATAAGGCATATTTATACTTTTTATTTTTCAAAATACCAAACAGATCATGCATTTTAGCCATTCCTCATTTCGCTCAATTTAACACTGTCTTTGCATGGGCTGATTCTGTGAGAACAGCACCATCTACAGGCCTGGCCTATGTACTACAGCGTCTCCAGCGCTTTCGAACGGCAATGTCCGTGGCTGTCTCCTCCTGATTGGTGGCCCAACAGCCGTAGCGCCACTTCTGTGACGTCAAAGAAGTGTTCAAATCTGGATCATTTGTGTCATTTGGATGGTCTATTGTTCATATTTGCTTTCCCGTAAAGCCCCTAATATAACACAAGTGTATTTTAGTCATAATGTGCCATATAAATACAATTTGATTTGATTTTATCTAAGATTCTGTTACAAGGAGTTTTTGGTAGAGTCATGCATCCTTTAAAGCAAGCTCCTGCATGCAAAGGAAACTCAAACCTCGACATAAAGCCTCTCAAAAGCCCCGAACATGGAGACATAAATCAGCTGTCAAGGACACTGAACTCTGCAATCAGTGTTCCAGCTGTGTTGCACAAGTTTCAGCTCAAACGGACAAAAAACCAGCAGGAAGGACAGGCTTTTTGTACGTTAATATTTAAGTTATGTGTCCTCTAAAGCCTTCTGCTTTCTAAATAATTACAGTGGATGCTTGACAAGGCACCGAAATGTTGTTCTGATATATTGCTGACCTTCTTCTAGAACTCCTTTAAACCGCATTTGTGGATAACTAAAGAGTCGCCACACCCACAACCTTTAATTGTTCAATCTTTATTCACGCAGGGAAAGTCTTTTTAAGCTCAGTGATTTAAATTCTTGGCCCCGGCTGGGAAACTCAAGCAAGCGAAGCGTACGAGAGAATCCCTCTCCACTTCCTCGGTAATGACCCCTCAAAACACAGAGGCACTTAAAAGCCCAAATGCTACAAAGAGCCCAACGCGGCTTACAAAAATCCACCTTCTCTGGATAAACAGGGCTTATAAAAAGAGAAAGAAACAGCAGGAAGTATATAGTAATTATGGATTAGCTCCTAAGGCTGCTAACAGAATCAATACAATGTGCAGGCTTCATACATGTTTCCCCCCTCTTCCAGTGTTTACACCGTTATCAGCTGCCTGTGCTCGGGCTGCCAGACGATAGGCTACGACGGATATATAACTGTGTTTACATGGACACAAAAAACCACATTTGTTTACTTGTGCAGGAGTAAACCAGAACACACGCTGGTCAGAGTCTTCAGCGGCATATTTATGAAAAAGGAAGGTCTATGTTTATTATTTATTTGTGGAAACTTGAGTGCTTAATTGTCAGTTTTAGTCTTAGTTGCAAATTAGATTGAATTATTTTGAATGCAAAGATGCACCACTAACAGCTTTTTCACCCCTCTGCGACTTTGTTAAAGCAATACATTCCCTAATGTGTTTGAATTGTTAAAGTAAAGCTAGTTCATGTTTTAAAATATCCTAATTTGTTCTTATATTTCCAGTGGATTTGCTTAGATTAGATTGAAGTCAATCCTAAAATGAAATATGGAGATTAATCCCAGATCAAATCTACGTCAAAGGATCTTGGACATATAGTCTACAGCAGTGCTTCTCAAAGTGTGCTCTGCGGACCACTGGTGCTCCGTGAGCGCCCCCTAGTGGTCCGTGAGTATATTGGTAACATTTCACATTTGAAATAAATTAAAGTTTTTGCACTCTCTCGCGGGAATATCTCCGCAATGGAGCGAGCTTAAGTTTCATTGCATGATATATGATGTGATTTTGGATATTTGTGGAGTTAGGTGGTCCGCGAGTGTTTTTTTATTGGCTAAGTGGTCCTTGGTATGAAAAAGTTTGAGAAACACTGGTCTACAGTGATTGTAATGTTATGTTAAATGTCTTTTTCCTTGTTTCTTGTCTTAAATATATGTATTTGTTGGTGTTGCAAATGGCAAATGGAACATTTCTGTCTTATCGTACTGTGAAAAGAGTGCTTAGAACTTCTCTTGCACATAATCAATGTGAAAAAAGTCATCAATTAACCGTGTTACATTTGAAAAGAGACAGCGTGTATTGCTTTGCTATTAAACTGGATAACAAAAAATAATTCAGCATGTTATTTCCTGCGTCGATCTGCAGCTCAAAAAGTCTGCAGCTCAAAACGTATAAAACAGAAAATGACTCAATAAAAAATAAAGAATAACTTTAAAGGCATTGGAGCTCTGTCACGGACTGCATACCTTATCGTGGTAGGAGGTGATGAGCCACAGCTCCAGGTCCAGGTTATTGTTCCTCTTCTCCGCTCCGATGAAGTGGAGGATGTTGTCGTGTTTCATGCCGCTCAGGCTGAAGATCTCGTACTCGTTCTGCCACGAGAGCTTGTCCTACAGCGGGGAGACACGCGCAGATGTTATTTCTGTCATCAATAGTTAAGGAAAGAATCAAATATGAATCGTACAAGACAAGTAAGGTGGCGAGAAGCAGAGGTAGAAATAATTCATAAAGGTCAGGAATATGTCCACAGTTACATTTTATATCAGCGACAAGATCATCTTCTGAAACGGGATTCAAATAAGCCTTTATGTTTTGTTTTTGAATTTTTTATGAGCTTTCTGTTTCTTTTCATCGTCTACACACGTCTCCAAAGGGGCTTGAAGCCTAATCTGAACATATTGTGTTTTCCATTTAGTATGATATTTGTATTAACATTCATTTACATTCATTAGTTTAATTATTAATTTGGCTGATTTTTTTTAATATTTATTTATAAGCAAACAATAAGGCTAGTTTCTTTAATTCTCTGTAAAGAAATAAGTTTGTGTTTTGTACAAAGAAATACATAAATAAATAAAATAAAAACATGAACAAAAAAGCAATAAAAAAAGTGAAATTACACTAAGAAAATAAATACAAAACAAGTCAAAGAAAACATAAATATCCAGTATCTTATACCTGAATGGGGAAGATTTTAACGGCCACAAAATCGTTGAGGAGCTGGGCCTTCCACACACACCCATAGCGCCCCCTGGCTTTCACCTCGATCAGCTGCAGCGGCTTGTGTCCCAGGATGGGGGACGGGGGTGAGGGTCCGGGGTCCTTTAGAGAGAGGGCAGAGAAAAAAAGACAGAACACAGTGTTATTCCTTATTCTTGTCATCATCCCTAATCGTGAAGCCCTCAGCTTGACACCTTAAATCACAACGTTAAGAATGTCATTTTATGTGATAATGCACTTTTTTAATAGCCCATTTTTTTATGTTGTGGTGCCTGGTTGCTTTTCTGCTTTATTTTTTATGGTTAAATGACTTTTGAAATTGTGCTTCAGGAAGCGCTGAATGTATATCTTCAGTATTGTCATAACTGAAGTGTTTTTTGGCAGTTAGGACACAGCGTATGTAGCAGGTTTAATTTGTTTTAAATTCAACTAAAACCCCTCAGGGCTGTATCAGCGTGAGTTTACAGAAGCGTAAAGTGGAAGTGGAAGTTGCAAAAGTGGGCAAGTCACCTCAAGATCTTAACATGAATGAATATGAAGCAGGTTGATTTGAAAATGGGTTGAAAATAAAAACATAGAGGGGGTTGAATCATCATGCGTCATGAGCGTTCAAGCTAATCCCGTTTAAACAAAAGTGAAAGCAAGTGTTCCAAATGTAAAGTGGGTTAAACACAGATGGTCATCGGGGTTAAGCTGATCACTTTCACATGTGACTCCACAGGAAGGACAAGAGTGCGAGCGAGGAGAAAGGTTCAAAAGAAGCATGGGAGTCACATTTCCAAAAGGATAAAAGTTAGAGGAGAGAGACCAGCGCATGACTGATGGCCTTTGAAGCAAGCTGATATGCTCCTGTAAAAAATCTCGTCTTCACATCCACGCCGTTGTACCGTTGTGTCGGGAAGAAATATTTCCCCCCCCCTTGCTCGTGTTTTTACTTGAACTGAAGGTGCTTGATAAGCTGGAGCATGTTACCAGACCCCGAGGCCCACAGGATCCATTCAAACAGCGTGACGATATTTCACAAGAGCTTGTCAATCTCACGTCCAATAAAATGCCCCCTTTCGGGTTAAAGGTTTGCTACAGATTTAATCCAACACACAGAGATGAGCTCTCTTTTGAGGAAAAGAGTTGCAGCACGCTCCGTTTGATTTACTGTAGAGGATTTGGCACCGACCCACTCTAAACACTGGTGATAGGCAAATAATTTGAAACCGCCTGTCCTGACAAGACCATTGTGGCACCAGAAACAAACTCTGTGTCATTTAGTAGCATTTATAGATTTGATCCATTTCAAAGTGTGTGTGGTTAATGAACCAAGTGACCTTTAGTTCACACTCAAAGAAGGTACTTCCTTTTTGAAAGATAAGTGAAAAGTGTCTTAGGTGCAACATGAGATTGTGCCATTTTATACCTAAAGAATCCCTTTACAGATTGTTCAGTTTAATAGGTTCTTATTCATGCCTACTGGTACACCATGGTACTGGATTTGGATGTTTAAGTATTGGAAATATTAAATAAAAACACTAGTTTGGCATTTAATCCTGGAGAAGTTAAGATTGTGTGGACTGCACTGATACATTAGGCGCTTTCACACCGGAGTACTCTTCACAGTGTAGTTCCGAAAATGTGCGTTCACACCAAAAAAATCCGGAACTAGAACTTAGTTCATGAGAACCTTTTCACCCCCTTTTCAGTCCCTGCTAGAGAGCAGGTACTTTCATGGGAGAAAAAAGGTTCCCATTTCTGATTGGCTGGGCGGATTGCAAACCACGCCCCGTAAAACTCCCAAAAACTGTTGTGAAGCCGCCATTTTATTTGCTCGCATTAGCATTATAAGCATTAGCATTAGCCCCGCGCACCAACGGAGAGAGACTAACTTATGGCAACACAAAATAAAACGTGGGAGCGGTGGAGATGAGGAGGTGTCGGCGTTCTGGCGATTTACTCGGAAGGCTTCAGTAGAAGCCAGTCCCCAACTCCGGGGACTTCGGGTGGCAGTATACGCCGCGAAGTTGTTTGCGGCCTGCCAGTAAACCCAAAGCAGAAGAAGAAGAAGTGACGTCAGCGGCTTCATCTGCCTAATCCTCCCCCAGGGACTTATTCCGGTGTGAACGCGATCTGCTCTTTAGTTCATCAGAACTAAATAAGTTCTCATGAACTAAGTACGGCAAAGTACTTGGTGTGAAAGCGCCTAATGTATGTTAAATAAGTAACTTCATTTTAGTAAAATTAGCATTGCTGTAGAAGTCTAGCAAAACCTAATGTATATAGTTTTTTAACTCATGAAATTAACAAATTACTCCAAATGAGTGACAAAGTTTAATGCAGGAGTGGAGTTTGTACTACTATCCGTGTAGAAGCAGCTGCAGATAAACAAGAATCAAGCAAAACACTTTTTTTGTTCGTGGAAACACGCAGCCTTCCAGTTGAAGGGGGAATGGAGGATTGGAGTGTGTATTTAAAGGCTTCCCCTCCTCTGACACAGAGCTGCGAGGCAGACCTGCTGTCTGTACGCTCTGCTCTCACACTGAACGCCGGCCAAATGACGGGGGGAAATTACCCACAATGCAGCAGCTGAGGTTGGATTACAGAGCGGCACAAGCAGTCCCAAGTTGCCACCCTTAAAAAACATCTTCCAGAACACAAAGTACCAACTGAATAAGGAATCTATCTGTTCTGTTGTTTAGTAAGCATGAGAATACACTCTTTGGAGGTATCCCTGAGGAGAAGTTGAATAAAAAAGTACAGTTGTCTTCCATCCTAAAAGCAAACAACTAGAAGATAATGAAGTAATGATCAGAAAATGGGCTGTATTTACATTTCACTGACTTCATCTTACCACAAAGTTAGCTTCGAGTTTAGCTAGAGACTCGTACTAATTTATGCACTAGTCCAAGGTAGTAATTTCCAACATTTTGTGTAAATATACTTGGAAACCCTGTCATGTATCAGAACTGTTTGAGCTTTAAGAATAATTGAGACTGAATGGACTTAAGATAGATAAAATAACATAGAAATGATTGGTGGTTTGAACGTTTGAAGGGTATATCTATGATTAGAAACAAGCTCATATGAACTGTAGATGCAAGACTTTAAGTGAAAGTCACTCCAACGAGTATATAACAGTAGAATTGACAAAATATAAGGTTTGTAATATTGTAAAGACTATAATAATTATGTTTCTATTGGTCCTTCTATCTTCCTGTGTTTTATATATTTTGCATGATCCATTTAAAAGATCCCAATATCAGAAAGACAATTTGCACAATATATATGTACTATTGGTGTGTTAATGGTGTTGTTGTCCAACACTTCACAATCCAACTGTTAGCCCAACAGTAGGAAACTGTGAGCCGACAACAGAGATAAAAAGGGAGAGAATATTCTGTCCCAAAAGCAATTAAATAACAGGAAAGTGCGAGGGAAAGCAGAACCAGAAGGGTACACCTGCTGTGATACTGTCAGGGAAAATGACTCCCTTTGCCATCACTGTTCCATGGGCAGAAAATGTAACAAAACATTCTTCTGAGTCTAAGGCGGTTATTATTCTGATCAGGATTTAGTGGAGAAAATTAGAGTTTTATCCAAGGGCTGTGTTTTTTCAGCCAATACAAGAAGTGCTTGCTGTTCTGTAGCAATTTATTACATTTCCATTCAAATGCCTGCATGTTTACCGAGCAAAGTAATTCAAAGTGTTTCAAATTCTGATCATGATTTGGATGGGAAAAAGATTGTTGTTTTATAACGCAAGTCATAAATGAGTCTGAAACAGAGAAAAGCTCCAGTTTTGTAATCGGGGTATCTTCATGAATGATATAAAAGATCCTCAGGTGGATTATTAATATTGCAGGTTGTTAGTGGAGAACTGTTAAAAAGGCATGGTCAAGCCTTAAAATAAAATAAATGTCTGCATTTGGGGTTAAAGTCATTCTGATACTGGTGACGATGTGGTTAATAAATCAGTCATTCTCGCACCGTCTTATCTTTCCCAAAGAATCACCAGTATGTCTGCACAAATGTCACAAAGACAAATTCCTGTGCATCCATTGTGCGCGGCCAAATATGTGGCAGTGCGTCCGATCGTGATGCGAATGAGAAAATGACGATAGACGTGCTCCACATGCCGGTGTTGCCTAACGGTACAATGCAAGTCATCGTTAGACATAAAGCCAGGGGAAGATTCCTGCACATGCTGGGCAACCGAGATGTGATTTTGATGACGGATTTGAGGGTGATGGCTTGATCCTGAACACCAGCAGGGCTTCATGTTACAATGTCATCCACATGGTGACAACTTCCTGGCATTTCAGATGATCCTGATGAGGTTGAAAAGCACGGTATCCGGGAGTTACCGGATACCGTGTCCGATCACGGTAGCCTCTGACGGGGGCGCATTACACTGAGTCAGCAGACCGCAGGAAACAGGAAGACAGAATCTGCTGCTTCACGCCGTTCTTCCCAACCCTCAACCATCTCCCATGGCCTAATCGGATTACACCTTCATCTGTTACATCACAACTGATCCGTGAGGCCTGGTTTGGTTTGTCCAGGGTTTAGGTGAAGTGAATCAAAATGCTAAGTTTGATTTTTAGAAATACGTAGAAGCTTTCCTCCAAAAATCACATCTTAAGGTCATGTTGTGTTGTTGATGTGAACTTGAGGTAATATCAAAAGTTGTTGACATGACCTTAAACAGAGTGCAGCTGGAAGGCTCACAATAAGCCTGGCTCTGAACTCTGACAGCATGACTGACTTTTATTTAGTGAGCTGCCTATTATATATTTATTTTTAAATGTTCTGTGAGCCATACTGCTACTCCAGAAGGATAGAATTTGAGCCAAAGTACATTTACAGAGGCTTACGCTCCTCTTGTACTTAAGTAATTTACACTCTGTGCCTTGAACATTTTTTCCAGGTAAGTGGCAATTCTCCTACTTATGCAAAAATCTATCAGCACTCATCCTCGTTCTGCATTTAAGGATGAAAAGCATGCTGCAGTTTCTCCCGTCTCTCTGCATGGTGAGCCATAGGTCTTGTAGATAGCACTCTGGAAACTGGGTCACATCAGACACAATACGTTACATAAACATCACAGGTGGACATTCATATAATAAAAAAAAGGAGGGCTGCATTCGCCACTTTTTTTCCACCATGCACAATACATTTTTCAGCAGGGAACACAAAAGACATCCATCCATGCAATAATACCCAGGCAGAACAAAAAAAGTGCTTCGAACCGAAAACAAGCTGCAAAGAGAAGAACAAAATGGTGGTCTGGGATCGAGGTGGAGAATTCAAAGCAAGCTCCGAACCCAAAGAAAGGGGGGGGAAAACTAATAGAGTTTCAACTTCAATTGAACTGCTCTTACCTCCACCATAATGTGAAAGGCGTGCTTGTTGAAAAGGAACATAGGAAGCAAACAGAGAAATTATTTTCCTTCGGTTAGTGGATGAAATAGGGGCAGGGGAACGATGGGTCGTCCCCGAACAACCTTTTGTTCTCCTTCCAGACCGAGGCTTGGGAAGATTGAGTCTGGGACACATGAAGGAACAGGTAATCCCACATGGATCACAAGGTGGTTAATAAGCATGGTACCAAGGCAAGATGGTGTATAAAGGAATGTACATGATGCTATTAATAAGCAGAGCAAATGAAAATGGATTTAACAATGTGTTAAAAGGAAAGTTCTTATAGTTCCCCCTGATGGAAGATGCATGAATGTACACACAAAGATTATGTAAGACACAGAAATGGAGAGTTAAATAAGTGAATGAAAGCGCCTAAACTGAAATTAAAACTGATCATACTGCACAAAAAACAGCAAAATTATGTCTTTCCTAAAAGTATTATTTGCCATTTTTTTACTTTGAGAAAAACAAAAAAAGATTTTCACATCTTACATTTAAAACAAAACATGCCTTATAAGAAATTAGTCCAAACTAGATATTCTAAAATTGGAAATGTTTTTATTTAAATTAGACACTATGTGATGTTGTGTTCACCCTTCTAGTAAATACCTACACATAGTTTTTCATGTTTTATTCACAGCCATGGGGGGACAAGTCAATGGAGAGCAAATTAAAGTAACCCCCTGAGGAGAATTTTAAGCATTACCAAGCTTGTCAAAATACACAAACGAGTATATCTTTCACAACCAGCTCACAGTTTGATCTACAATGTAAATGTTACATTTGCATTTCACATGGCAACACATGAGCTGCGTTTTCCCAGCAAAGAAAAAATGAGCAAACGCAAAAGTCAAGTCAAAATCCAAAATAAGCCGCAGCAGTCAAAAGTCAGCAGTCTTTCAGGACACCTGGACTTCCCATTAGTGGCTCTTTGGAAAGCTACACCCAGATGCGAGTAGCTCCATAGTAAAGCAATTGATGAGATGTTGGTCAGAATCGATGGATAGATTAAGAAAACAGCGTCCAGGTGGAAAAAAAATGTCCAGACACAAGTGTAAGTGCTGCAGGCCTTTGCGTGTGAAAGCGGTGGGCCTGTGTACTCAGACACAATCAATTCCAGTTTGCCTCCACTTCGCGCTGTGGTGTTAGTAATGGAGGCTTGGTGGCGAATATGCAGCCCATGATGGACCACCCTCATAATGACATAATGACAACGTGCCATTTAGTCACTTAGCTGCACTGTTTTCTGCATTTCTCTCTGGATTTAATCTCCTTAAGGCTCGAGGGCTTGAAAGTAAGTGCAAGAAAGTTAAAGATGCACTTTTACAAATGTTTAACCCTGTATGAACTCAAATACCTTCACCTTTAGTCTGTCCCAAGTAAAGTCTTTCTTTTCGAAATTAGATCACTGAGGCGTGATAATGAATCTATTACTGATCATTAAATGGGAACAATTACTTTTGCATCATGAGGACTGCATGTTTCATTACCTTGCAAAGAAAATAATGGAAGCCACTTTCTTTGTCTTCACTGACTGTGAACTCTTTGGCTGGCTAAATGTAGAAAGTGAGCCAAAAGAACAAAGAAAAATACCTATGACGGAAACACATAAGATCTAACTAGCAAAAAGTGTGGGCCATTTGTTACTGTCACACAAAAGATCAATGAGTAAGTATTGTGTGTTAAGTCCAGCTTACTTGCGCTCTTTTAGACTAAATCCATAAAGTATATTCTACCTTTGAGGGCTAATTGAGTTGCTATAAGCTAATACGCAACATAATGACAGTCGGTTTGTTATGCAACTCGTGTCGCTTTAAAAAATAAAAACGTATATTCAAGTATAATTTGCATTTCAATTGCACACAGATTTGTTTAGTGCACACGAGTGACTTTATCTTCATTCCTCTGCTTGACGAGAGACATGTGTGAGAATGCCTTGGAGCTCTGAGTCAGGTTTAACAGTAGGCGTTACCTTTCTTTTTCAAATGTCAAACATCTTATTGTCCCGAGTTCTTATATAAATGTGACTTCATCAGGCAGGTGTTGCTCAGTAACCTGCGGTGGAGCAGACGGGTTTTTTTTCTCGCTCTCAGGGGTGGAAGAATCGCTGGAAGCCGTCCGCAGTGACTTTGGAGGAGCGAGCAGTTTGAGTGATTGCCGGAGTCTCCCCTGCTTTTTTAATACAGCCTGTGGAGCATTCTTCAACAACAACAACAACAACAACAACAACAACCCCAAAACAAGAACATAGAAATAAATCTCCCCTCCTGCTGCATCCCTCTCCCACAGCTCTCCATCTTCTATATTAGCCGCTTTCACACCAAGTACTTTGCCGTACCTAGTTCCCAGCACTTAGTTCCCTCATGGAACTAAAGAGCAGATCGCGTTCACACCGGAATAAATACCTTGAGGGAAGATTACGCAAATGAAGCCGCTTATGTCACTTCTTCTTCCTCTTCTTCTTTGGTTTTACTGGCAGGCCGCAAACCACTTCACGGCGTATACTGCCACCCGAAGTCCCCGGCCGGAAGTCCCCGGAGTTGGGGACTGGCTTCAGTAGAAGCTGCTGGGACTCCCAGCAGCTTCTAATGCTAATGCCAGCAAATACAATGGCGGCTTCAAAAAACCTTTCCGAGTTTTACGGGGCGTGGTTTGCAATCCGCCCAGCCAATCAGAAATTGGAACTTTTTTCTCCCAAGGAAAGTCCCACCTCTCTAGCAGGGACTAAAAAGGGGGTAAAAGTTCTCATGAACTAAGTTCTCTTTTTGGTGTGAACGCAAAATCCCAGGAACTATCGGAAACTAAACTGGAAAAGTACGGGTAAAAGCACTCCGGTGTGAAAGCGCCTATTGAAAACCCTGGTATAAACAATTATAAAATAACCTTGGGATGTGTATCAGATAAGGTTTTATCCACCTTCAAGAAGCAGGCGGGTGGGGTTTACTGCATCACCTCCTTTCAGACTCTTAAATACATCCGTGTACGAGTGACCTCCTTTCCTCCTCCTGTCCTTGTACACCTACTCATGCATTAAATACTTCTGCACGCACACGCGATTACACACATCCGCCATGACTTCATTTCTTCCATCCGGGTTATTTCATTTCCTCCCCCCCCCCCTTGTGATTTCAGCTGTGCATTCTGAATTGATCTGACTCCTCGTTGGTCATGATCTCGTTTTGTTTTATGTCGTTCATTTGTTTGTCTCCAGGTAAGATGTTTCATAAAGCAGTGTTGATGTCCGATGCACATTAGCATTTGTTTCCTGATTGCATTGTGCCACTATCTTTTTATCTCTTCCCTGCTAGGCTTTAGCTCTGTGCAAATACAATAACCAAGTTGAAAGAATTGCATGTCTCTCCTCACTCCCGCCCCCGCACTCCCCACCCACCCACAATCCTCGGAGGCAGAGCTGCGAGCGTCTCTGTGTTTAGTTTTGTTTGCCTATATAAAGCCTCATCAATAATGCAGAGGCCCCTGACTCCTCTTCCATACGGTGGAAGCTCTGCTTGGGTTGTCTTTTCCTCCTTGCTGCTGAGCTGCAGAGAATATAGCTCTGCTGCTGCTGTTGGCTCATAACCGCCTTGAAGTGATAACAAAAAAACCATATGAATCAGGAATTCTGCAAAACAGCGTTATTCCCAGCCCTAGGAGGATGAAGATGTTTAAAGAAGATGTTTAAAACAGGTGATGAAACTGTCCAGTGAAGACATGAAAAGTTGATGTTTTTTCAGCTATGGAAAAACCCTGATGGCAAAAAAGGAATGAGTAATGAATAAGTGAACGACGACACGACCAGATGTGCCTCAAACTTGCATTTCGCAATTGTGTGATTAAAAGCTGAGACAATGTGAGCCGTCGTAACTACAGTCTGAGTGTCGGCTCAGAAAGAGACTCAAGGTAAAAAGGAAACCAGGGCTCCTTCAATACAACTTTAAAAGAAGGAACTGAAAAAGCAATTATCTCAACGTAAACTGTGGGCACAGTGTGTCTCTGTCTCTGTGGGTCTCGTTTTTCACAACAGAAACTAATGACAATTGACTTGTATTGTTTGATATATTTAATGGTTGTTATGTAAGTACAGCGTTAAATGTCCCTATCTTGATTATTTGTATGTGTTTTTGCAAGCTTTAGTGTTTGATTTTACGGGCTGTGGGTAATTTGCGACGCAGGAAACGATGCGTTTGACTTTTTTCCTCTTTGTTTGCAATTAACAGATGAAGCACGGACTAAAAGAGAAACCCTAACTGCATCAGCAGCAACTTTGAAGAAAGCCGACACCAGTGTCCCTGCCACATCGTTTGATTGGCAGGTGACCTCTGGAAACACACCACAGTGATGAGGGTTGAGGAAGACGCAAAAGTTGTCATGGAGTGGACTTTAGTTGGAGGGTTTCATTTCACATTTGAAGAGTTTTTCTGAGACTTACATGTGTGGGGACGAGGGCGGCGGGGTAGGCCAGTTTGTGATGCCTCCACATCCAGAAAGAGAAGAGGACCACGGCGGCCAGGCCTATGATGGGAACAAGGGAGTACAGCAGAGTGCTGAACAGCTGGGGCTTCTGGGAAAATGGGTTGGAGGTGGCTGTGGGGAGAGACAGAGTTGACAAAAAATGACAAGTTAGGAATTGGCTTTTTTTATCTTCATGTATATAGAAAATATAAAACAATCCGATATATCACATTGTTATGTCTAAATAAAACTAAATTGACATATACATATCAGTTAAGATATCTAGCAGCAGTATATATTAGGGATGCCAGTTCGAATATTCGTTACAGTCTCCATAATCGAATATTATTTTTAAAAATCGATTTTATTTATATATTTTTTTATTGATGTTTTTTTTTTTTTTTTTTTTCTGGCTTAGTTTCAACCAACATATAGACTAATGCTAATAATAGTAATAGTATTAATAATTGTAAATGGCCATTGGTCACACCACCAGTTTGTTTTACTGTAAACTTGGAGGAAGCCTGCGTGCAGAGCAGACTGCTGCTGCAGCGCTACACACCGACCCCGCCCCCACCCCCCCTCTCCCTCACACGTGCGACTAAAGAATGAACAAACGCGGCAGGTAAAAATGAGATTCAAAGGAGCTGCATCCATGCCATGAGTTGGTTTATTGTTCGTAGTTAATTTTGTTGTACTGTTTAAACATGTTCCAGTAAAGAAATCAATGAATTCCTTATGTCTGATTTTTTTTTTTTCTTTCTCTCCCGGGGGGGGGTCGGTCAAAATGGATTATTTATATCCCAGGCTGCCGAATAATCGATTTTGATCATGGTCAGTTTCTGGCAACCTAGAATACTATAGCAATCATACTATGCTATTATACATAGCGTACACTTATGCCAAGCCTGTGATTTATTAATCAATATTACAAATTCAATCATTGTAATATACTATCTTCAGAAAATAAGGCAATAAAGCTTAACAAATGCTTTTATTTTCTAGCAATTTAAGTATATGTTGTGTTGTATACCCTTTACTTAAAAGGGGACTATCTGCAAAATGCCTTTTGTAACGTCTTTTATACATGAATAGTGTCCCGGTGTGCCAGGCGAACTCAACGACAAGTGTCAGAAACACAACCTTCTCTCTTTCCTGACATTAGAGAATTTTCCAAATCTGGATCAGTCTGTATCAGATCCGTTGCAGCCCCGTTTTTAGAGATTTGGGTATGGAGGAAAGAGAGAAAGGTTGTGTTTTCTGACACTTGGTGGATCCCTGGCACAGTCGGGACAACATATATCATGTATAAAGACGTACAAAAGTGCTTTGCATGATAGGTTCCCTTTAAGTAAAGGATATCAAAACAACATAACTATAAAATTGCCTTAAGAAAATAAAGCATTTGTTAAAGCTTTATTGCTTATTTCTGAATGCAAGTATAATTACAATGATTGAATTTGTCATTAATTGATTAATAAATCACAGCTGGCATAAGTGTACACCGCTATGTTATAATAGCATAGTATCGCATTGCTATATACGAGTGGCGTAGCCGGTTGCCAGACACGCCCTCAATCGGATTACGCTCTCGCGCCGCGCCGCAGCCCTGCCACACCGATTATTTGACCCGGAACCCGCGCGCGACCGAGAGAAAAGACAAAAGGAAAAAAAAAAATCAGACATACAGGAATTCCATGATTTCTTTATGCGAACTATGTTTACCAGACCCTAAACAAAATAACGATCAATAGCCAACATCAGGCATGATGGCAGGGCCTCCCTTGAACCTCTTTTTAGCGCGCTGCCGCTTTGTTCATCTTTAGTCGGGGCACGTGTGAGGGAGAGGCGGCGGCCGGGGTCGTGTGTAGCGCTGGCGCACGCAGGTGCAAGTCTGG